CAGGTATAGATGGGCATCTGAGGAGGCCTAGACATGCATTATCTGTTACCATCTCATCACCGTCTTAGACACAGCCTAAGAGGGTAAGGCTGCAAACAGCACTGAGGGCACACGGAAGGGCATCTCCTCAAGGACCAAAATAAAAAACACCAATAATAGCCTTTGCTGGAGAGGTTGTGGAGAAAGGGGTACACTCATCCATTGCTGGTGGGAATGCAAACTTGTGCAACCACTTTGGAAAGCAGTGTGGCGGTTTCTCAGGAAATTCGGGATCAACCTACCCCTGGACCCAGCAATACCACTCTTGGGAATATACCCAAGAGATGCCCTATCATACAACAAAAGTATATGCTCAACTATGTTCATAGCAGCATTGTCTGTAATAGCCAGAACCTGGAAACAACCTAGATGCCCTTCAATGGAAGAATGGATGAAGAAAGTGTGGAATATATACATATTAGAGTACTACTCAGCAGTGACCCATCGTGGGCTGGAGCTGCAGCCACCACCTGAGTCCCCACTACACCTTTCCCCTGACCTCTCACTGGCAATTCAATTCCACAGGACACCTGTGGAAACAGTGCAGCACGAAAACCGGATCAAGCTGTGGCTGAAAGCCGCTGTTCTCGCCCTTCCTCACGCTGTGGCCCTTTAATACAGCTCCTCGTGCTGTGGTGACCACCCCCCCCCACACACACACCATAAAATTATTTCATTGCTACTTCATAACTATAGTTTTGTTACCGTTGCGAACCATAATGTAAATATCTGATATGCGACCTCCATCGGGTGGCCTGCCATAGGTCGAGAGCCATTTCTTTGGAAGGATAACGTTATTTCTGCATGTTACATTTGGCACATTAGCACACCTACATACAGGCCTTTATCATGCTGCGCTCAGCAACTCCATTTTTTTTTTTTAAAAAAATGTTATTTTTAGTTTCTCTTAGAGGAAATTTCATTCTTTTAGAGGACGGAGAAAGCAACCAGCCCGAATTCCCATGCGGGGTTGGGGGCGAGGGGCTAGAGAGAAAGGCACAGTGACGTCAGCAAACATAGCGCTTAGACCCGGGAGGGGTAGGTAACCTCTCCGAATTAGAAGCCTGGGGACGGTAAACAATCCAAGGGGAACGATTTCATCGCTCTTTGAAAGGACATGAGGTGGTGAGAGTATGATTTCTAGACCTCCAAGAGGTCGGTGGGGGCAGAAAGCAGGCAGAAACGTGCAGAGACAGCAGGTCCCTCTGTGTGGCACCAATCATGCATTGTTAAGGTAAGGGAGAACGAGGAAACCGGTGGCAGCGACCCAAGAGTTTAACCCAGCACTCAGGAGGCAGAGGCAGGCACATCTCTGTGAGTTTGAGGCCAGCCTGGTCTACAGCGTGTGTTCCAGAACAGCCAGGACTACACAGAGAAACCCTGTCTTGAAAAACCAAAACCAAGAAGCAAGGGCCAACCTTAAGCCTCTAATGGCCTGTTCTTGGGCCACACGGAAAGAGGGGAGCACCAAAGAAGGCACCCTAGCATGACCCTAAGGGGTCACAGCCTGCCCCACCTCCCAGACCTGCTGAAGGGCTTCCTGCTGGGGGCTCCTAGAGCCCTTACCTTCCGACAGCTCCGGCCCGTGTTGCCCGACCTCCTCCTCCGGGAGGTCCTCCCTCCTCCAGAAGAAGGACACCAGCTTGGCCGCTAGGCGCAGCATGGCACCCACTCAGCTTCCACTCCAGCCCCAGGAGCTTGCACGCCACAGCCCCGCCCATTGGCCACTACGCAAGCGCCCCTAGAACTCAGCCAATAGCGTTGTTGTGTCTGCGCCTGCGCCTGCCTGTCCTAGGACTCAGCCAATAGGATCCTTGCATATGCCGTGAGCCACGACCGTTAGCAAGGCGAGTTTGACGGTTAGCACGTGAGGGAGCCCCGAGTTCCTCGTGGAGGCCAAAGAGACCTGACATGCGCAGTGTCCTGACCGTGGGGAGGGGCGGGACTTCAGGCTGGATGGTCTCAGCATGAAGCTGGGGCGGGCATCTCTGCTCAGTCCACTTAAGTAAAAAAATGAGGCCCGGCTGTGGTGGTGGTGGTGGTGGTGGTGGTGGTGACGCAAGCCTTTAATCCCGGCACTCGAGAGGCAGAGGCAAGCAGATCTCTGTGAGTTCGAGGCCAGCCTGGTCTACAAAATGAATTTATGATAGCAAGACAGCTTGGACTGTTACACAGAAAAACCTTGTCTTGAAAAACAAAAACAAAAAAATTAAAAATAAAGCCCACAAAACAAACAAAGCAAAGAAAGGTGAAGAATTTCCCCACCGAGTGTGACCTTAGGAGTGATTTTTTTAGAAATTCTACAAAGAGAGATGCCCCCTCTATTCCAGTTTTTCTGAGGATTTTATTTTTGAAGGCAGGGGTACGTTATATACCTAGACTGCCTATGAACTGGCGATGTAGCTAAGGATGCTTTTACAGTCCTGATTCTCCTGCTTCTATCTCCCAAGCCCAGAGCTTACAGGCCTGTGCTACCACACTGTTTTATGTGGTGCTAGGGATTCACAGCCTGACATGTTTGGCAAACATTGCTTCAACTGAGCTATATCCCCAGCCTGTAAAGTGGTTTTATTTTGTGTTTTTTTAAAGTAATTTTAAATTATGGATTTCTGTTTAATTTTTGATTAACTTGCGTCCTACATAATTTGGCTTACAAGTTTCTTTTCTTCTTCTTTTTTTTTTTGGTGTGGTTTTCTTGACCATATAGGATATTTTATTTTGCTGTTGCTTGTTTTTGTTTTGTTTTGTTTACCAGGCATGTTTGTATATGACTTAGAGAGTTTCTGCTACTGATCTCATTTCATGTGGTCCTAGATAGTCAAATCTGGATGACTTCTGTTTTTAAAATTTATCAGGGTAAGGTGGCCCACACCTTTAATCCCAGTACTTGGGAGGAAGAGGCAGGCAGATTTCTGTGAATTCCAGGCCAGTCTGGTTACATAGTTAATTCTAAGCCTACATGGAGAGACCCCATCTCAAGATGAAATAAAACACAAACCCTTATCAAGAATTTCCCCACTACATTAGTTTCCTGAGCCTCCTCCTCTGTATGTTCTGTGTCATAAACGAGATGTATTCGATGAATTAGTTAGGGGTCTAATTTAGTTCTAGATTAGATTTTTAATTTTTTAAAAAATACATCAGATCTGTGAGTTTAATTTACACTCTTCTTGAGAGAATGGGAGAGAGCATTTCTTTCCGTAAACATTTAGGGGCCTGTCATAAAGGCTTCCTCTTGGGTGTGTTGCTGGGGATACATGGGAAAAAGGAAAAAGGACCTGAGAATTTATAGGGTTGGAGTTACCTTCAGAGACGAAGGCTGGATACACCGTCAGGCTCCCTCTCACGGGGTGTGGTAGAAGTACTGCTTTTCAGGACTGTCTGTGGACGTGGCCAGCCTGAGCTGCTGTCCAGCATCAGTCTCTTCTGCATTTCCATACAGACACCCTACGGCCATTGTATCTGTCCATCATATCTAAAAGAAAACATGATGTTGCTTCTAGACCTTTCTCTCTGATGGCCTAAATAGCCCACAGTACTGATCGAAAATGGGATGGATTGGCTCTCGTCATTTTGAGTCACACCTCCTCCCATCCCCAGCCTGTTCTCCATCCAGCATCCGACGTCAGTCCACCTCAGGGTCAAAGCCAACCGGCTCCCATGCCACAGATACCTTGTACCTGGATGGCCTCTGCATTCTATTTCCCAGAATCCTCAGTTCACCCCCCCTCCAACCATGCTCCTGCCTGCTCCAGGATGTCTAGGAGACCTCTGGCTTTTCTGCCCAACCTCTGTGCCTTTAGAGGCACATCCGCTGCCTCTATTCAAACTCACACAAAGTCAAATGTGTTGCCATATGACACAGAACTGTGGCCTGTAAATATTCAAGTGGGCAGAGGAGGAAGGGCAGTTGTTTAGAGATTACACTGAAAATCAGGACTTGCTCTAGAAACTAGTACAGGAATAACAGTGAAAACACACTTCTGCCAGGTGATGGTGGGGCACGCCTTTAATCTCAGCACTTAGGAGACAGAGGCAGGTGAATCTCTGTGAGTTTGAGGCCAACCTGGTCTACAGAAAGAGTTCCAGCACAGCTAGGACTGTTACACAGAGAAACCCTGTCTTTTCCAAGTCACTGTAACTTGGGGAGCTCAAGTAGTGCGCTTTCCCTCTCTGATTCAAAGCAGCTTATTTGTGTTTCTCAGTAGAAAACACTTTTGAAAGTCACGAAAGTCATGAAATTTGCTCACCATTTTCCCCCAAAAGAACACACAGAAGAGTTCAATCCAGTTGGATCGATTCCCATTTTAAAACTCAGTAAATTTGGGAGGTTCCTCAACCCCTTCAAAAGAAGTTCCAGATGTGTCAGGAACAGTGTGAGAGAATTGTTTCTTGTTTTAATCTATTTATATTTTATGAGTATGGGTGTTTTTCTTACATGTATATGCACAATGTGTGTGTCTTGTGCCCGCACAGGCCAGAAGAAGGTCCCTGGATCTCAAGTATAGACAGTTGTGAGAAGACACGTAGGTGTTGGAGTTGTAATCTACCATGTGGATGCTGGGAATTGAACCCAAGATCCTCTGTAAGAGTAGCCAGTGCTTTTAACCTCTGAGCCATCTCTCCGGCCCTGGGTAGATTGTTTCTAACCCTTCTTGTTTGGTTGAAAAACTAAGATAACTGAACATTCCTGATTAGAAACCAGTGACGGAACCCAGACTGCACGTTGTTCTGCTGTTCAAGGGCCTGTTTTTTCCAAGTACTCTGGGCTGAGCCTCTTTGCAATGTGCACAAAGAAATTGTTGCTGTAATTGCCAGGACACCAGTGTCTCCAGGCAAATGAAACACATTCATGTCCCTTTTCTCTGCCTAGTGAGCAGAAATAAAGGGTGCAATGGGACGATTTTTGCCAATCCTTGGGGCTACCATGGGAACCTGCGGTGGAATTCCCAGCAGTTCAGGGGCCAGCCTTGCCAAATCGAGAACATAAAGGTTTATAAATCCTGACAAAGGAGATTTCCATCGCGTGTTAATAGGAGATAAAGAAAGACTGCTCAAAGAGATGTATGATGTGACCTGGGAGCAGTTTTCTGTTTCAGGCCCTAGGCTGGTCAGGACCCACATCCAGTGCTGGACTCTGTCTTTAGCAGTATTTCCCTTTCCAAAACACCCTCCTGGCTATTATGCAGGGAGTGGGACCAGGGGTTCTTCCTCTCCTGCTTGAGTTAGGAAAGCCCCCAAGCCAGGGCTTATGCAACCAAGGGCGGACATTTCTAAGATCCACTCCCTTAATCTCATTGAAATTCAGGAAGCTGTGTGCCTGCTCCTGGCTGCAGTGCAGTTTGGCTGAGCTTTTGTTCCACTTCTGAATAGTTCTTGCTGGAAGTCCATCACCCAGAGGCCAGCTCTCCCAACAACCGGATAGCAGCAGAGGTAAGCATGAAGACATTAAATTACAAAGTAAGTACATCCTTTGTAATCTCACGTTACCAGTTTGTGTTCCCCCTCTGGTTGGGACTCATAAAGTTGCTGGTGGAAGTTGGAACATACTATATCTGAAGGCTCAGATGAATCCGGATGGGTTTGGGTGGTTTTACTCACTTTGAGAATTAAGTGCTTTTTCCTTTTTAAGTTCACGCCCCTAGTGTATGAGCATATTTCTTTGTGTAAGAAAGTGTTTACTTAAGCTGGACATGGTAGTGTTTCCTTGTGCGGAAGTTTAAGGCCAGCCTGGGCCATAGAGTGTGATATTTTGTCTCAAAAGAGAATTTTTAGAGGAATTTCTTGAGAGTGACTTATTATGACTAGAGGTTTTTTTCCCTTGTCGAGACTGTCTATGATGGGTTCATTGCATAGGAGGGTATGTGGTCCAAGTCTGTCCATGAGTCTCAGCTTGGCTGAGTGTCACCCTCAGTAGTATGCCTGTTTCCAGTGCCATGACACGGGAGGGGCAGTTCAGGGAGGAGCTGGGTTATGACCGGATGCCCACACTGGAGAGAGGCCGGCAGGACACAGGACGGCAGGACACGGGCAGCTACGCACCTGACTCAAAGCCGAAGGACCTGCAGCTGTCGAAGAGGTTGCCCCCATGCCTCAGCTACAAGACATGGGTATTCTCGGTGTTGATGGGGGTGAGTCGCTCAACACTGTTTCAGAGGACTTCCGGTGCTGGCCTTGTTCTGTAGAGTACGTGACCCCATAGACTGGGAATCAATCTGCCTCTGGTAGGCCAGGCAGGAACAGTTCCCATGTGGGTGGGGGGTCCCTAGAGTGCCAACATATTATTTTTGTTTGTGTTCTATTAGTTACTTTTCTCAATATCTGCCGGGGTGGGGATGTTATGTCCCTAAACCACACTTACCCTGAGCCCACAGGTCACCCGTCAGGTAGCTGGCATGACCAATGGTCTGTGAAGGTTGGAAGCCATCTTCAGGGTAGCTCTGTGGAGTGAATGACAAGAGCTGTGGCCAGGGCTGGGGTCAGGACTATAGAGCAGGAAGAGCTACAGCAGCCATAAGGACTTTGGGGACTATGGGGGACCACAGAGAGGGTTAAGTTGGGTATGGCTAGAGAGCAGATCTAAGCTAGCCCAGGGTAGGGCAATGCCATGTGGGGCCCCAGGACGCTTGTACACAGTCTTGCAGATAACCCTGGGTGCTTAAAGTGTGCACAGTAGCTGAGGACCAAGCCACTGCATGCATCTCTCTATGACCCAGACATAAGCAAAATAAATATGGGAGGGTGTTGGTTAATATGGAAACAGTTAAGTTGCACTCACAGGGCTGGGTACTGCCTCCTCAGGTGTCTCGTCATCAAACAGAGCCAGTTATAACCTGAATCTATGCCGCTGTTTTGCAGAGCTGCCTTCTTGTGACTTCCGGGTTTTCGCTCTACTTGGGGAATGTGTTCCCCTCTGAGATGGATTATTTGCGCTGCGCAGCAGGCTCTGTAAGCACACCCCTCAGCCACACCAGCACCCTAATTCTCCCATTGTGAGTTTGAACCTCTGTGACCTGAGGTTTATAGGTTGCTGGTAACTATTTATGTGACTAGTTTTGTTTCTGGTAACTACTTGTGTGACTAGCTTCCTCTCTGGTAACTACTCGTGTGACTACCTTCCTCTCTGGTAACTACTCGTGTGACTAGTTTCAGTAGTCTGACCCCTGTGTGGGAAACAGCACTTTTGAACCCAGTGTGTTGTGGTGTCTTCCTGCTCCTATTGTCCTGGGTGCCATTATGGCCTCCGCTCTTGGTAGTTAGGAGACTGCACCCCTGCTCCCCCCAAATCCTGATGCCATGTTTCTAGAATCTCACCCACTGCCAAAAGATACTGTCCTCAAGGAGGGAAGGAGAGCGCCACTAACACCCCCAGACTCTGTGTCTCCTACCTCCACAGTGTCTGGCTAGCTTAAGCACAGAGCACACTATCATCTGTGTGGTAGCTGGGCTCTGGGGACCTTCTCATGGTGTCTGTTAAGAGACTCCATGACCACAGAAACTCTTATAAAGGAAAACATTTAATTGGGATGACTCACAGTTTCAGAGGTTCAGCCCATTATCGTCATGGCAGGTGGTGTGCAGGCAGACATGGAGAAAGAGATGAGAGTTCTACATCTTGATCCACAGGCAACAGGAAGCTAACTGTCTCTACACTGAGTGTAGCTTGAGCATAGGAGACCTCAAAGCCCACCCTCACAATGACATACTTTCTCCAAAAAGACCACACCTACTCCAACAAAAACACACTTCCTGTTACTGACACTCCCTTTGAGGGCCATTTTCTTTTAAATGTCCACACACCCTAAGGTCCTTCGAGGTCCTGGATCCCTAGGTTCATTCCTTATGCCTTTCCCTATTGAGCTGGGGACTGGCCAGCACAGGTCAAGGTTCCTGGGAGTCTTTACTTCCCTAAACTCCCTGCTAGGATCCCCTACCTCTCTCACAGGACTGCTCCCATCAGTGGCCTGAGTTATCTTAAAAGACAAAGGACCACGTGGGGCCCAGCAGTTAGGAGCATTTTCTGCTCTTGCAGAAGACCAGAGTTCACTTTCCATCACCTGTAATGGCTCATAACCATCTGTAACTTTAGTTCTAGGGGAGCCAATGCCCTTTGCTGATCTCTGTGAGCACCAGGCACACACGTGGTACATAAGGACACATGTAGGTAAAACACCCACACACATAATATACAATAAATAATTCTTTTTAAAAAAAGAAGAAAATAAAGACTGCAGACACCAGTTTCTCTTAGCACCACACCCCAGCCATATGCACATGCTATCGTTGGCCTCTTTGCTCCTTTGAAAGAACGTGAACCCCTTCCTGCTGCTTCCTTTCTGGCTATGTTTACTGTGTCCTCATCATGGGAGCAGGATTGCTGTGTTTCTGACCAACACTGCTCCAGGGTGGCAATGATCCCTCAGTCTCAATGGTGGGAAACACTCATGCCTGCCTTATTACATCCCTGGCAGCTGTCTTCCCAGAAGCTGGGGTTTGATCGTTGGGTTACCTAAGTAGGTCCCAAGCCCTACCTCAGGCCTCGACACAGGTTTCCTTTCCCTCCCATACCACCCACGATATGTGTTATGTAGACATTTCCATTGACCTCTGTCCCATGAGCCATATCCTTTTAGGTCCCATCTACTGTTCTAAGGGACTAGGGTCCCATTGCCCACATGATTGATGCCACAAGGCTTACCAGACCCAGATTGGTCCACCTCCAGCTCCCCTGACATTCTCACTAACCACCTCCCCTGGTTCATGATCTGGCTTTGGAGTCACAGCAGGGTCAGACATGGCCTGGATGACAGCCACTGAGATAACAAGGATCCCTAAGTACAAGGGGACACTTCTGTTTTGGCCACATGGATACATTTCCCTTTTGGGTAATTGTTCAACAGCACCAAGTTATAGTATGACTTCCACTAGATGCTTTTAAAATTAACTTTTGAAGTATAACATTTTTATAAATTCTTTGAGAATTTCATACACATGCATACAATGTATTTGAACTACATTCTTCTTCCACTCCTTCCCCTGTTCTCTCAGATCTATCTTTGACCTCCCTACTCCCCTCAACTTCATTTCATTTTTCTTTTTAATAACCCACTGAGTCCAATTTGAGCTGAGTTAACCCTCCAAGGGCCATATCATTAAAAAAAAAAAAAAAGACCCGTCTTTCCCTTCCCCCACAGTCAGCAACTCCTCAGTTAGCGGTGGGGACTGGTGAGCCCCTTCCTCCTAAATGCTGTTTTTAAATACAGTTACTTTGAAATATCAAGGGACTTTCAGGGTTGAGGGAGCTCCTTGTATCAAGTAGACTGACTCAGATCACTGTAGAGACTTAAACACTGTAACACATGATTATCTTAATTATACTCTGAGCTGGAGTTAAAACCCAAAATCTGTAGCACCATTGGCAAGAGCCCTAGCTAACACTGGGCTACACCCAGCCTGCCACGCACTGTTTGAAGGTTGACACCATGACCAGGGCACAGGACTCAGGCGAACTCTTGGCTCACCCAGATTCTGGCTTCTTTTCAGTGCATCCCCTCCGCAATTGTGAGCTTCGCTGTGGGGAGGAGAAACGTCAGCGCGGTAAGCAGGCTTTGTACTTATTTTTTTTAAAAATTATTTAATTAATGCATATATGTGTGTCTTCATGAATTCATGTGTACTGTGTGTATCCAAGTACTTGTGGAGGCCAGAGGGTGTCAGATCCCCTGCAAGTGAAGTTCTAGGTGGTTGAAGGCACCTGAGGTGGGTGCTGGGAATCAAATCCAGGTCTGATTCCTCGGTAAGAATGGTAAGCACATCTCTGCAGCCCCGCACTGGACTTAAGCTGCCGGTGAAGCCTCTCCTGCAGACTTGGAGAGCCCACAGCGCCGAGCTGTGGAAAGCAGATGTCCTCTTGATTTCGTTAGTATTTCTAATGAAGGAAATGCCTCCTGCTCTGTTTTCCAGATTCCCAACTTCCAGATCTTGTTTGTCTCCACATTCGCGGTTACCACCACATGTCTGATCTGGTTTGGGTGTAAACTGATCCTGAATCCCTCAGCCATAAACGTGAGTCACTGGAAGGGAATTGGGTCACATAGATTTATGTTTTGACCCGAGTCATGTCTTCCCACTGATATCGAATGCTGCTCCCACTGAGCAGGGGCAAGCCCTGGTTAGAGAGTCACTGTAAGCTGCCTTTGCTGGCGGGTGTTGAGGATTTTTGCCTGTGCTTCTGAAGGAAGGAATCATCTCTATTGAATTCTGAGTTTCTTCCATTGGACAAATCTATTGAAAAATGATATTTTAGGGTCTAATTCCCAACAGCAACAGGCTTGGGATGCAGCTCGGGGGGATGTGCTTCTAGAATGTGCAGTGCTTCACGTTTTAGTCCATTACCACACATGCTAGAAAAAGACAGTAACTTACTAAATGTATCTTATCCAATCTATGATACTCCTGTTTATGAGGCATTCTGCTATCTTTTGTACTACTGAGAAAAGTGGGAAAAGATTACATAAAATGTAATATTCTATGAGAAAAAAAATCTCACCAGAATTAAGGATGCTCTATCTATTCTTGTGAGAACATACAACAGTTCAAGGACCACCCAGGCTGCTGTGTAGAGAAGAAACACAGCCGACTGGACACTGTGATTATTGAGTGCATGTGGCAAGTTGCTGGATATGAACAATAAATATAAAAATTTAGGTGGATCTCTGTGAGTTCGAGACCAGCTTGGTCTACAAGAGCTAGTTCCAGGACAGGCTCCAAAACCACAGAGAAACCCTGTCTCAAAAAACAAAAAAACAAACAAAAAAAATTTAATTGTGCCACAAAATTGAAAATATTCTCTAAACACAGATGCTTTATAGAATTAAATGTGTAGAACTTGTTATGCTAACTCTTCCTGTTATTACCAGCACTTAGGAGATGGAAAGAGGAAGATCAGAGAAGTTTAGGGTCAACCTTGGCTATGTAGTTAAGTTTGAAAACAGTCTGGGCTATATGAGACCATGTTTCAAGAAACAAACAAAAAACAAAAACAAAACCCTAAACAACCAAACAAAACATATAAAGTTCCTGAGAATATGCCTAACAAGAAATTATAAACTATGGCAATTACCTTTTTATAATTATTTTATGTTTACCTGCATGTCTGTCTGTGCACTGCGTGTGTGCCTGGTGCCAATGGAGGCCAGGAGAGGGTGGATGCCAGGTACACACCCCAGACAAATGGAGGGTAAGCCCATGAGACAATGCAGGGCACAGTGAGAGGCCCCTCTCCAAAGTCTGCATAGGGCCTGGTTCAGGGAAGAACAAAGAAGGAGAAGGATCCCTCAAGGACAGGTGGGGACACATCCTCCCACAGCCAAAGTACTGGAGAAGGGTAAGCTGGGTGTGGGTTACAGGAACTATTGTAGCCGGTCAGACCAGAGTCACATCGTACTGGGGCGTCAGACTATGATATGAGTTACAGCAAGTACTGAATCAAATTATCCAGATAGACCCCTTATCTCTTACCTGCCACATAGATGAAGACTTGAGCTGTGTGGGTGCAGCTAGGAGAGACTGCTCTCTCCCAAGCATGGGAGCACCCTTGACAGAGGATACCTTCAACACACTAGGATCCCCAAGAGAAATTGGTGCCCAAGGAGGAGGAAATCACAGAGCAAAGTAACTCGGCACATGCCGAGAGTCTCTCTGATGACAGCAGCAGGCCCTTCAGAGAACTATTTGGTACTTGTATGTATTTTCTTAAAATGAAGACACCATCCCAAGTGGAAGCCTTGGAGAAACACTGGTACACCATGGATAAGAAGCATGCATGAAGGGCTAGAGCTCTGGCAAGAGACCAGCAGTCCCAATCTCACCTGATGTTTACATCTGCAAGACTTCAGTCCCACCTGCGCTAGAGGTCAGACTCCATAAGTAACTAGGCCCTCCACAGCCCCAACCACCTTGAGACCTGATGGTTATTGAGCTACCTGGGATAGGAGGAACCTGAGGAGCACAGTATTTGTCCCAGTCCTGCTCAGAAACTATGCCTCCTTCAAGGACATCCATGTGAATGGGACTTTCAGGAGCATGCCTCCATCTGTGTGGGTTGTGCCACACTGCAGGCCCTTCCTCAGATCCTCTGGGCTCTGCTAAGTGCTGGGAAACCTTTGGGGTCCCTACACAGCTATTACCTGTGGTAGGACTCAGCCGTTCGTGCTCTCTACCCATTTCCTCATGGGTTGGTGTCATGGCTAATCTTGTCAACTTGAGCACATCTGGAACCAACCAGAACCCAAGCAGCTGGGGACAGCTGTGCAGGGTTTGTCTTGATTGTATCTTTTGAGGTAGGAAGACCTCTAAATCTGGGCCATACCTTCTGGTAGCAGCCCACATAAAAGATATGGAATAAAGCACTCTTGCTTTTGGCCTGCTTGTCCTCGCTGGTGCTGGTGAGTTCATCTGTCCCGTGACCGAGGCGTTCCTTTGCTCTTATTAGAACCTACTTTCAGGGGATTCCAACACAGACTGGAGGCCGGCAGCTCTCCAGGATCCCAGCACCAGACTGAACTACTTCATATGACTTTTCCAAAAGACATGAGAAGAGTCGTCTATTTACTCCAAATAGAAACAATTTTACAGACCCAAGAACCATGCCTCGACCCGAGTTACTCCATTTTTAATGCAGGTGCCAAGAAAGAATGGCTCAATCTACATCTTGTTTATGCAAATTAAGAAAAAACATTTGCCAAGATGTATGTTAAATGGTAAATGACACCTGGGATATATTGGAAACACCAGGCACATGAGCTTTTCACCTACTAGATGGAACCCCTCACTTTGACTATAAAAGAAGGCGCATCCCCAGACGGAAGTGTGGCAGGCACAGAGACTTAGAAACTTGTCATGAGATTCACCAAGACTCCCTCACTGCCCTCATCCCTATGTTTCAGACCTAGCATAACATCTTTTTGTTCTAATCACACCAGCCCACTTCAAACTGACCCTTGACCCTTGAAACTGACCCACTTGCAAACCCTCCCCGACCTGCCTTTGACGTCCTCTGCCGGAGAAGCTTGTCCAGTCCCTTAGAGACTTCTCACACCTGTGTCAACTCTGCCCCTGACTTCAGAACTTCAGCTTCTCCAACTTCTCCTATTGTCAACTATGGTAATACACTCGGTTGCAGGTTTTTATCTCAGCTCAATGCTATTTGGTTCTCCTTGCCCCTGAAGATCTGGGGGATGGGGGTTAAGTTGCGCTTGTCTACCAGTACTCTCTAGCCTGGCCTCAGGGACGGCTGGACCTATTTTTTCTCTGGCTTTGTCCTCGCTGGTCTGGCAGGGCTGGGTCTACAAGGCAGGTGGTCTCAGTTGTAACCACTCTGCATGGAGCTCCCTGGGGAAGCTGCAGTCCCTGAGACAATCTACTCTAACCGTCACAGGCTTCTCTTGTCCGAGAACTCACTTTCGTGAATTATCTGTCACTGAAGTGAGTGTCCTGAATGTTCATTGTCAGGATCCCAAGGAAGCAGGCACGTGGAATTATTTTTAAATACCATCCACATATAATTATTTCTGATATCATTATGTTACAACACAAATGCATAGTCCAAGTATGTTGATTCTTTGATATTTACCAAGGCTCCCCATGTGAAAAAACAGATTTCTCTTAGTGTTCTATGGCAGTTATAAAAGAATGAACATTTTGTTTTATTTATGTAGAGAACTGCATTTGTTTTTTAAATGTTGACTTTATAACTGTCTAGATATGGTGAAGACAGTAGTTCAGGAGACACATGGCATTGAAAAGAGAGTTACTGCTCACAGATTCCAGTGGAGGAAACACCCACACCATCAGAGCCACCAGGGGAGCAGCAGGGCAGTGTACAAGCAGAGGTAGTGACGGGGAAATAGGCAAGCATTTCCATTATGGCCACCACAGAAAAGGACAGGTCAGACAGGAGAGACAGATGACCCTCCAGCTTGAATAGCTTCCAAAGGTGCTGGACTCTAGGCCATCCCTAGTTGCCTGGATCCTGCCCTGGGGTGACAGGCAGATAGATAGTAACCAAGTTAGGGGCCATACAGGGTTGGAGGGTTGTGTACACTGTTGTTTTTTTTTTTTTGTTTTTGTTTTTTGCCTACTCTAGTGATTACCCATCCCTAGGAAGATCAAGGCTGTCCAGGGTCAGCATGACCACATGCCAAGCATCAGAACACAAAAAATAAAATGTGCTTACCTTAGCACATTTCTGGTTTTAAGTGTGTGTGTGTGTGTGTGTGTGTGTGTGTGTGTGTATGTGTTGCTTGTTTTTGGCGAGACAGGGTCTCACTATATAACTCTGGTTGACCCGGAACTTGATTTGTAGACTAGGCTGGCTGTGAACTCACAGAGTTCTGCCTGTCTCTGCCTCCCAAGCACTGGAATAAAGTGTGTACCATCACACCCTGCTGGATAAGAGTTTGTATGTGTTTGTGCTTTGGATCAGTTTCTGAGAAAAGTAAGTTAAATTCCTTACCTGCAGTTATTGGTTTATCTATTACTCCCCTAAAGTCTGTCATTACTTTGTATATTCTGATGTTCTGTTAGTCAAATATTACTGTATAGTCTTTCCCTTACAAATTTGCTTTCAAAGCTACACATATAGTATACAACTATCATCCTACAACTTGGGAGGCTGAGAGAGGAGGACTGTGAATTCCAGACTAGCCTACTACATACAGAGTGAGTTCAAGTTCAACCTGGGCAACTTGGTGAGACTATTTCGAAAGAGGGGCTATGGTAGAGTACTTATTTAACATGTAAGGGATCTCAAGTCCATCTCCTAGTATTGCATAGTGAGTGTGTCCATATCAGTTAAGTATTTATTATTTATGTAGGGCCGAGGCACAACTTCCAGTCCTTGTGATGCTAGGCTTGTGCTCTGCAAGTGTGAACATTTATGTAACTGCTGACACAGTTGGCCTCAACGTGGTTCTGCCAGCCTTTGAGCCTTGTATTTGCAGTTTCTAGAAACTGCACATGGAGCTGAGCATACTATGAAAACTGTGCTCGTGTTTTCTGTGTGCTTAGAAGAGCGTGGGAGGTTAGAGTAGGGTGGGAAATACAGTTTAAGGGCTTTGACATGAGGCAGTTATGCTCCAAAAGGGATAAAATGTAGTTTATCGTGAGCAAGATAGAAGTAACCAAGGCCCAGGAACACAAACTCAGGCTACCTTGAATGACGTTCTACTGTGGAAGAGGGTATATGAACCATTATAGACCCACAGTAAATGGAAGTCCTAAGGCAGTGCATTTACCAGGAAGGCAAGCGGTGGACAGTGGGGAGCCACTTTTGTACCTTGCAGATGTTATGACATGTTTAGCTTGGTGGTAATGGAAGCTAGAGGTCTTTTACATATACATTCCAAATGTTTTCCCTAGGAGTCACAAAGATGTTAGGCCAGATACAGATACTGATTGTGAGGGGCTGTTCAGGGACTAAAGATAGGCCCAAATGATTGGGCTCTTTATCTGCCATATTTCAGTTCTCCACAACTACGAGGTTCTAGTTATTCAATCAGTATGGGAGATTTCAGCCCAGGTGAGACTTCTATAGAGAACTTTGGCTTCCAGGCCCGGTGGCCTATGTCATGTCTTTGCATAGCCATTCACTAAGAGTAGTTTTAAAAACAAGAACCTGGGGCCAGTGATGTGGCTTAGCAGATACAGATGTTTGCTGTCAAGCCTGACTACCTGAGTTCAATCCCCAGGACCTACAGGTGGAAGAAAATGACTGACTCCTGCAAGTTGTCCTCTCCTCCACATGAATGCTGTGACTGATGCCCCCACCCCCAGTGAATAGGTGTAATTAAGAAATTTAAATATCAAGAAGTTTAATAGTGGAGAGAGAGAGAGAGAGAGAGAGAGAGAGAGAGAGAGATTGAAAGAGAAAAAAATCAAACTAAAAACAAGACCCACACAAAAGAGAGGCAGTTTGTCACCCATGGCTTACTCAGGCCTATGAGAAGGAAAGGAGAGCGGGGTTAGCCAGACGAAGGAGGATGGTAGCTTTCTGGGGGAAGGACTAGTATGGCTGAGGCACATGTTCCCTTTGCAGATCAATTTCAACCTCATCCTGCTCTTGCTGTTGGAGCTCCTCATGGCAGCCACAGTGATCATCTCAGCCCGGTCCAGTGAGGAGTCCTGCAAGAAGAAGAAGGTGGGTCTCCCACAGCTACCTCCTTATGTCCCTGAGCTGGGCCTGGCTGTGGGAGGCCACGAGTGCAAGGGCACAGGTATGGGTTGGGGAGCTGCTGGCTGAGCCTGGGGGCCATGGTACAGCCCCACTGCCTTCCCAGTGTCCTTCCCCTCCGGTACTGTCTTCAGGACTGTTACTGGGAGACCAGTTCTGCAAGAATGTTGGTAAGCTGCAATTGCAGTGACTGGACACATCCGCATGCAAGTGGAAATGTCTGTACTTGCATTGTTCCTCCGGACTGAAGGGCACAGACCCTGAGGCTTTTAGAAGTATAACTGTGCCCATGCAGCCAGCACCCTTCTCCAGCATTCTATGGCTCCACAAGGCTTTCCTTCTTCCTAGGGTTCCATCTCGGATGGCGCCAACATTCTGGATGAAGTGGCTTTTCCTGCTCGGGTCCTAAAATCCTACTCTGTAAGAAAAACCCCTTCCTCTTCTTTCTCTTATGTTGACCTAGGGCTTGGTTATGTAGCCTAGTTTGCACTGAGCTACCGACCCTCCTGACTCAGCCTTCCGTGTGATAGATACAGCATGGGCACCTCTGTCACTATGCGGGGCTCCTAATGGCGCAACTCCATGTTCATCCCCCTCAGGCTGAGTTCTGCCCATGAGCCTCGCTATGGCTCAGGTTGTAGCTCCCACCATCATCCACCTCCTTGGCCTTGTCTAGTGGTCTCTCCATGGTCAATGTGAACAGGCCAAAGAAGGGCACCTACTGAGCCCATGGCCTCTTCCGGGGAGGTCTGTATCTATACACTGCATTCAGAGACTTCCAGAATGTCTCTTATCTCACCACAGGGGCAGACCATTGGCGTGGTGGCCTAGCAAGGTAACTGTGTCATTTTTCCCCCCTAGGTGGTAGAAGTAATTGCTGGTGTCTCCGCTGTCCTTGGTGGGGTGATCGCTCTAAATGTAGACGAAGCTGTCTCGGGCCCACATCTCTCAGTGACATTCTTTTGGATTTTAGTGGCTGTGAGTACTTCCTGGATGGTCACCTTGTCTATGTATATAGCTAACTAGACATGGTTATTGCCAGTTTTGAGCTTCCTTCCTTACATCCTACATGGCTGGATTTTTTAGCACTGTGTTGGTAAACTTCACACAGGAGAGCACACAAGAGAGTCTCCCTCCCCCAAAGAATCTGGGAACCAAGGATTAAATGTATTTCCATAAAAATTATCTTAACTGCTGCCATTATATTACTTTCATATTTTTCTAAGAAATCCAATTATATTAAATGCTGCTATGGTAAACATTTAGCACAGGTCTAGCATATGGGAATGTGTGACACTCGGCCACTCCTTTAAACACAATCCTTTTGCCATTTTAAAACATTCCAAGTCTACCTGTGTGATTTATTGTCAAGAGTCTTAACAATCTGTTGGGTTCATATGCAGCCAAAGTTCGTTTGAGCTCATGATGCGCCCCAGAACAGTCAGCCTAAAGCGACTCCTCCACACTCAGTATTTCTGCACATCTCAGATGGATGCTGAAACCATACCCATTGTGGCTTGTGTTTCCAGATGTCCTTTTACACCATGCCATTGTAACTTGCCATTGGCTCCTGGGATGAGAGGTGGGGCTGAAGCCTATCCTTGGCATTCACATGGCTGAATGCAAGAACCTTACCCCTGCTTGTTGGCCTGCTTGTTCTGTTGCTTCCTGACTGGTAGCTTTGTATCCTGCTCCTGCTGTAGCCAGAGGGCACTTTTGGAAAGGCCACGCACTTGCAGCCACCTCGGCCTCGCCAATTCCTCTGCCATCTCCACTCACCTTTTCTCTAAGGCCTTGACAAGTGCAGACCCCTTCTTGGTTTATCTAGGCTCAGGTATCCTGGGGCCAGTGCTGTTATCCTGGGGCACATATATTTCCTTTACAGTTGTTTGTATGGATAAGAAGCTTTGAGCTGGAAGACAGTTTCAGGAGCCCCTCAGGCTGTTTAGGGTCCTTGGAACTCCTGGGGCCATGGCCCAGACAGATGGCCAAAGGGCATCCATCTCTAAGATGTTCTCTTCTTTCCCCAGTGTTTTCCAAGTGCCATTGCCAGCCACGTGACAGCAGAGTGTCCCAGCAAATGTCTGGTAGGTGAGGTCCAGCCCTTCTATGGTGGCATGGGTCACACTCTGGGTGTGGCTGAACAGGAGTTGAGGAGGAGAGGCTCTCAGGGGCCAGTGGGAGGGCCAGGACAGGCATCACTGCCCTGGAGAGGATCCACAACTGTCCTGGGGCTCCAGGGGCCAAGCTACCCTATCTCTGGAAACAAGACATAAGCACTTCATGTTTGGAAGCCAGAAAGTCCTGTTGCTAAGGAAGGATGAAGGAAGAGACCACTCTAGCTTTGTCCCACCTCCTGTGGGAGCCGGTTAGATGTTAGCAACCACTGGTCTTTGGCCCTAACTGTTCTGAGAATGAGTATCTGTGCTGGGTTATGTGGCCCTAACACACGGGGGAGTTTAGAACAGGTCTTAGAAGAGTGGGAGAAATGGATAGCACACAAGAGCTGAATTTTCGTCAGATTAGATGGTCTCATGTGAAATTCAAAACCTCACATGTCATACACAGCACTGAGTGAATGAATGAGTAGAGTTGTCCGGGGCCATACAGTGGTCCAGCCTCACAAATTCCCAGACAGGTAAGCACTGGCGACACCTACTGCCCAACCTCATCTGTTGTGTCTGCCAGGTGGAGGTGCTGATTGCCATCAGCAGCCTGACATCCCCACTGCTGTTCACTGCCTCTGGATATCTGTCCTTCAGCGTGATGAGAATCGTTGAGATTTTTAAAGATTACCCACCAGCCATCAAAGTATGTATCCATTCTGTTTTGAAACTCTTTGTTAACAAAGTCTGGGGAGGTGGCTCTGGGGCATCCACTATTTTCCTGACAGTGGCCAGGACAAATGGACATCCGCCTGAACAAAGTGGCCTTGCCCAGTTTGTGTGGATGGGGCAGGATCTGATTTGCTTTCTCCATGTTGGTTCTATCCCCATGGGCTCAGAATCTGCTTCTGTGTGCTCTCCCTGCTTCAGGTCCCTTCTGAGCCCTTTCACTGAACAGAGCTGGAAAGAATTGTATGTTTACAGATAGGCTTTTGTATTGTTTCCAATTCAAGTTGAACATTCTCTGTTTATCTTCCTGAAGTTCTTTTCATTTTATTTTTTAAAAGAAAACAAACCATCTTTTTTCATTTTACATACCAATCCCAGTTCCCACTTCCTCCCTTCCTCCCACTACTTCCTGAAATTCTTTTACTTGATGTTCCATAGACCAGGCTGTCCTCCTCAGACTCACAGAGATCCTCCAGCCTCTGCCTCCCGAGAGCCAGGATTAAAGGCATGCACCACCACAACCTCCACTGGGGGTCATTTTTTTTTTGGTCATTTTTTTTTTAAACCCAATAATTTACCCTAGTGTTTGGTAAACACCCAGAGGAATCAGGACTCTTCTGTACCCTTTCATTAATCTGTTCAAATGTTGCCCCACTGACCTGACAAGTCCCTGGTGATGGGAACTGGGTTACTTCCCCCACCTGCTGTGATGAATAGCTCCTGGTGACCAGCCTTTATGCACATTTCGTATGAATCTGAGGATGAGCACCTGGGAGAGGGACTATACAGACAACAGATGATTCTGGACTCCTAAGTCCTCACTAGACGACTTTCTAGCACGAGTTTTGCAGACCACAGCAAAGCCATGGACAACAAATCTGATCTTAAGATGCTTCTCTTGTTGAAGCCACGTTTGTATAACACCCCTTGTTTCCATCAATCCTTTCACACACTTTCTCACAGGCTATGCTCCTGCCTTCAAGGCCCTCTCTTTATATCCCAGCACCTGCTCCCACCTGTTGCTATGTACTGGGACTGCCCTGTGCTAACGGGAGAGGCTGTAAACCTGCCTCTTTCTCCTCCAGACAGGAGAGCTCCTCTCTGTGCGACACACATAGCTTTTGCTCTTATGCATGAATTTATATTTTAATTTTTGAGACAGGGTCTTGTTGTATAGTCCAGTCCATCCTTGAATTTGAGAGCCTCCTGCCTGGGCCTCCTGAGTGCTGGGATCCTGGGCTCACGGTATCATGTCTGTCAGCACTATGTCCTTTCTGTGTTAACATTTAGTGGCTCTGTGTCTTTGTGGACTGGTGGAAGGCATCCATCTGGTTGCTTTGTGGATATTTCTGAAGCACTCCTTGCTATGTGAAGTGCATTTTATTGCCTCTGGTCCCTGGGCTCCCAGGTCAAGGACTCTTGCCCTGTCTTCTTGTTCTCCCTTATTGCCTCCCCCGCACCAGCAGCTGGTGTTCAGGTCTCTTTGCTGGTAGGTCTGGGCCCTTGACTTTCCTTCAGCCAAAGGCCCTTCAGAGCCAATTGTACCAATCTCAGGATTGTGTTTCCTGCAGATATATAGTGGAAAATTTTGATTTCTCCTGCCCTTTGCACACCCTCAGCACGAGCCTCGAGAGCCTCACATGAGGCTCTTTAGCCTCCCTATGGTTGTTGGATCCGAGGGGTGGAAGAAACACAACCTGGGTCCTTTTTATGCTTATTTGTTAACTGCAAGCTAGCAGAATTGGTTGAACTGGAATGTTCTGATTCAGATTACTGAAACAAGAAAGCGTGTTTGGGCTTCTAGGGCTCGGTGGCCAAGCGGGGAGTGTTCTGACTCCATGGAAGCCTTAGACAAGGTGGAGAATTTGCAGGGTCTGCTTGTGGATCTGCTCACGTCCCCGTCTTTCATCCTAGTCCTACGATGTGCTCCTCCTGCTGTTGCTGCTAGTGCTGCTGCTCCAGGGGGGCCTCAACACTGGCACAGCCATCCAGTGTGTGAGCTTCAAGGTCAGCGCCCGGCTACAGGCTGCATCCTGGGACACCCAGACCTGTCCCCAGGAGCGCCCAGCAGGGGAGGTGAGTGGCCTGCCGTCCTCAGAGGGACCCTCCACTGATGTCCTTCAATATTTGTTGTGGCATTTTGTGTTTTTTCTTATTTGCAGTTTTTTTTTTTTCCATTTGAACCCTTTAATCCAACCAGTGCTGCAAGGGCAAGATCTTTACCAACATGCTTGTTCCAACCAGATGCAGCAGTTAAATAGTATGAAAGAGGCCTTAAATATGTCAGTCCATTTGAACTAATAGTTATTACAGCTCATCTTTGAATAAATAATGCCAATCGTGACTACCTGCAAAGCAATGTATTAATATCACATCTCCAAGTCCAAATGTAATTCACACATAAACATAAACTGAGTTATCATACTAGAAATGGGAACATTCTAAGAACTTGTGCTGGCAAAAACAATAGAGCAAATTAAAAATAATTTTATGGAAGGAAATCCTAGAAAGCATTAAAGAGTGGTTAGAAATAAGTTGTTAATTAATACTAAAATTGGTAAAAGAAAACATCTGGCACATCACAATGAAGGAAAAATAGAAGGCTATGTTTGCCATCTGTGATAAGTGAATGATGGATGAATACGGATTTTATTTGTTTAAACACCCAAGAGAAATCTTGGAGAAATAAAGTTCAAACTAGGTTATTTTTTAAATGACTAAATGAGTATCAATCCATTCATGAAAAAATACCATGGCCATAGTGCTTTAAGTTCTGCTCTCACAGACACGGAAAAAGCCTTCCAAAGACTTCCCCAGAGGGTGCCAGTCTCCATGCTGTGCACAGGAGGGCTACCCCTGCCTGGCATGTGGGGCTCCCTACACCTGGACATTCCTATTCTGTGGCCAGTGGGCTGGGAGTGGTCAGCCCACAGTTACCTGGACAATACTCTCCCCACCCCCACCCCCACCTAAGTTCTGCTGCTCCCACAACTGAGGGTGGGTCTGCTAATGTCTCCCTAAGCCATCTGACCCTGCAGTGTCTTCCTGGACAAATTTGCCCACTGCCATCACGGAAGTGACCACAAAGTACCTAGCTGTTCTGTGCCCAAGGAGATGTCCAGGCAGGTCCTGCCTGGAAGGTCTTTCTTTGTCTTGGGCCAAATGAAGTCCACATTGGTCTGTGTCCTGACCAGCAGACCACAGAGCCAGATGAATAAATTGTTCTTGCCAGATTCTAGAACTGTCCATCTACGGAGGTCTGAATAAGTGTGCAAGCTAGAGTTACCCTATCTCATGCTGGAGGTGTGTCTCTGCCTCAGTTGTCCACTTCTTTTGCTGCCAGGTACACCTCCATTTTAAAGCCTGCCCCACTGGACACCTACAGAACTGTGGGAGGGTGTGTGGGCATTTCTGAGATGCGTTGTCCCTATTCTAGCGCCCTCTCCCCTCAGATTGCACATGCAAAGAAGCCTGCATACAAGAACACAAGACGCTGCCTAGGCCGAGCTGAATCTGCCTTCCGTCCAGGTCTGGCCCTGATGAGGTAACACTGTCCTTGTGTCTCATCACAGGTGGCCAGAAGCCCCCTGAAGGAATTTGACAAAGAGAAAGCCTGGAGAGCTGTGGTGGTACAAATGGCCCAGTGACTACAGGACAAGAAGACCGAGTCTCGGCGTCTGTCTGGCCTCCGGCATGGTCTACTGTACAGACTCTGTCCTGTAACTGCTGCTTTCTAACACACGCTTTTGCTCCTGTGCAACAGCCAGGCTGCAAGGCGGTTCTCACTTCCTGTAGTAGTTTAACTTTGGAGCAGGCAAGCGTTGAAGGTTGCGCCCTGTCTAGTGGGTCATTCTGTGCTTCTCAGATGATCCTGCTGGCCTGGGTAAACCTATGTTTTCCAGCCCTCTTCACTTCCTGATTTGATCCTCACTCATTCATGGGAGCTGATGTTTTGGCCTTAGGGCACTTCCATGCCTCTGCATGCTTGCCATAGTGTGGGGATAGTTTGATTGTGAGAATTGCATTGGCTTTGATTAAAATCATGGCCAAGAGATGGTGTGTATGCCACCTCCCGAAACGCCAGAGGACACCTGGATTCTCTCAGAATCGGTTTGGTTCCTCCTCCGGGAGGTGAGCGGCAGTGTTCCTTTCCTGAGCTGGGGTGTATCAATGGGTTCTAAGGAAGCTATTGAAAAGACCAGAGGTGCATTTTGTGCCCCCGAAGAGCTGCCAGGGTCAGAGAGGTAATAAGAAGCCTCCTAGGCTTCTCACTTCTAAATGCCCTGACTCTGACTTCCGGGACTCATGAAAAGTGCAGTAGGTTGTTTTCAGTGCAACGGAAATGCAAGTGAGGCACCTGTAGGGTGGAAAGTACCCAGTAAAGCAGCTCCATCTCCAGCCTCGGGAGTCCCCGTTCTATCTTCATCCTCTGCGGCCCCAGAGGGCTGGACCCTGCATCAATAAGTACCATGAGAGGTCATTCTTGCCTGCATATGTGCAGAGCTCTGTAGGCTTTGAACCTACTGCAGCTCTGCCGCACGATATTGGGTGGCGAGGGAGCCATGGGCAAGCTGGGATGGCAAGCCATCTGCTAGGAGATGAGAGAGACTCGAATGTTCAGGACCAGAATGAGGCAGCGGGGGATTGCTGAAGACTTGCACTTTCTCATTTTAGAGAGCTTAAAAAAACCAACTCATATAAATGGGGCCTAAAAATTGTCTCTTGTATACTTTTGTTTGGTAGAGTTTAATATGCTTGGATGCTTGGGCAATAAATGCTAACATGCAAATGTGTTCATAGCCTGTTATAAATGCTTCTGAAAAGAAAGAAAACAAAACAAAAACAAAACAAACAAACAAACAAACAAAAAAACCAGGGGTGAGAAATAGGACCCTAGAGTGGAATGCCCATTTTTATTGTATTCTTTGATTTGTATGATAAAAGCTGGGCCACCAGTCAGGGAGAAGCCTCCTCCACCTGGGAAATAAAGATGCCTTTGATCCAGTGCTTCTCAACCTTCCTAATGCTACCTAATGTCACCCCGCCCATAAAATTATTTCACTGCTACCTCATAACTGTAATCTTGCCACTGTTATAACTCCTAATGTAAATATCTGATATACAGAATATGTGATATGTGACCCCTGCAAGGGGGTCATGACCCACAGGTTGAGAACCACTGCTTTAAGCCAAACAAAAACGATTTGAAGTTTGGGCTTTAAAATAATGATGATTCTGTGGATGGGTGGGCCTTCCTCACCACTGCCCAAAGTGCCACATAGGAAGGCAGCCTGGAGCACCAAGGACACAGCATAGGTACCCCACTAATGAACCAAGGTACCAAGGCCCCTCTATATTCCTCTGGGCACAGAGGACTTCTTTGGCCACCCTGATCTCAAGGAGACAAACGGACTGGGGAGAACACGCGCCTGGAAGGACCGTGGGACTCTGTGTCCACCTCGGGCATCCTATGGACAGTAAGGGAGCCAGGAGGGAGGAAGTCCAGGGTGGGGCAGGGTGTGACCCCCTGGTCTTTGTGACTTGGTGCAGTCTGTAGTCTGAGTGCCAGGTTGTCTGTGTGACCCTGACAGGTGCATGGGACATGTGGAGCAGGAGCTCATGACCCTGGCGTGGGTTGAAGGCACTTGAGAGGTAATCCTGACTCATGGCCCGCCCCCGTACCCGCTCCGGCACTGGCCACTCCCTGGAACGTGGCATGGAACTAGATCCAGAACCAAAGCTCAGTAAAAGCTCCAACAACTGTGTCCGGACTCTGTCTGCTCCTCGGGTATCGACTGCCCACCGCAGCCGGCGGCCTCTCCTCCTGCGCAGCCGTCCGCATGCCTCACCGCCTGCGCGTCCACGAAGCCCCACACCCCGAGTGGGGCGCCGCTTAGCATGCCTCAAACCCGGCCACCAGCGCCACCGGTCTGCACAATGCGCCGCGCAGCCAAGGCCCGTTGCCAGGGGCGACCACAGGACGCCCAGCCGCGACGTCCGCGGCTGGGGCAGAGCAGCACGCGCTTTAGGGCGGGTCCCAGGTGAGCAGTTTTCCCTTCGACACGCCAGGCCTGTCCTCGCTGGCGCCCAGGTCCCCCTCCCATCCCGCGTTCCGAACCCTGCCCCGCCCCCTTCCGATTGGAACCCCAGACCTCGCTCCTTAGAACCGCAGAACTTCCAGCCTTACTCTGACACCTGTCCACTTTCACCCCACCCCGCCTTTCCAACCTTCTTCCCCTCACCTTCCCACCTTCTTCCAAACTCCATAACTGCCTCCCCTCCCTGACCCTAAACCTGTATCCCAGTTTTTGACCTGTCTACCTACCTTGACCTCCCCTTTTGAGCTCCGGACCCGTATTCCACCCCTGACTCATTCTCTCACTCGGAGGCCCCTAACTCTGCTCTAAACTTATCTTTTCAACCTCAGACTTACTTCCTTGAACTTTAACTGTCCTCCTACCCTTAACTTTACCCATCTCACCCTCAAACCATCCCCCCACTGGCCCTTTCTTCTCATCTGACTTCTCACCCCCAAACCTCTCTCTCATGACGTGTCCTATTACCCCAGACCTCCTCTCCAGACCTCCTTTCCACACCTTGGGTCTCAGAACCCCACCCTTGCTTCCCTGGGTATGTCTGACCTCTCCACCCTTGTCTACAGGGGCTTGGGGCCAAAGGAACCAGCAACGTGAGGTTAGCATGGAAAATGGCGAAAGGAAGAAGCTGTCTTCCACTTCACCGGATGAAGATCACAAAGAAGAAAATAGTCCGTACCGTTTGTGTTCCACGTTTGCAGTCAGTCTTACTCAAAGGAGCAGGCATGGGGGTTTGGGGAATAGAGGACAGAAGCCCAGATTTTGCCGCCCACCCCGGGGTCCTGGAGCTTTTGAGGACTGTGTAAATCAGTTTATGTTGGTCCTGGGAAACTTCTGGGGGTAGAAGGGAGAGCTCTTTATTCAAGTGGATTCCTGCGCTTGCCCTTCAGACATGGTTCATGTTCATTGGTGAATACCTAAATACCTTTAAGTAAAATCACGTGTCATAGATGGATACACATTCAGTTTTAGAAGATATAGTTCAGGCTTACCAGCTGGAGTACTCCCCATCTGCCACACAGCTGGTATTTGCCTTGTCATTTGGACCATTCTGTGAGTGTTACCAGTCTTTCTCTTATGGCCATGATGGTGGAATGTTTGCTTCAGATCTTGGCCATTACTGATAGTGAGTCTTACTGGTTTAAAGATATTTCTTGTACAATCTGGATACCAATTCTGTGTCAGAACAATGTATTATAAATACTCAGGATCTGTGGCTGGCCAGCCATTTCGGTCTTAATGATTGCTTCCATAATCTTAAATTCTAGGAGTTTGGTTGATTGGTTTTGTTTTTCTTTTGGTTTTCCACGGCAGGGTTTCTCTTTGTAGTTCTGTCTTTGAACTCATTCTGTAGACCAGACTGTCCTCAAACTCAGAGATCTGCCTGTCTCTGCCTCCCTAGTGCTGGGATTAAAGGTGTGTGCCACCACTGCCCAGTCCCTTTTCTTTTTTGAGACGAGGTCTCACTACGTAGCTCTGGCTACCCTGGAACTCTCTGTAGACCAGGCTGGTCTAGAACTCACAGATACCCACTTATCTCTGCCTCCCCAGTGCTGGGATTAAAGGCGTGCACTATATATAGCCTGGCTGGCCTGGAACTCATGATGTATGTCAGATTGGCTTTGAACTCACATAAATCCACCTGCCTCTGCATCTCCAGTGCTGGGATTAAATAATGAAATTACAACTACCCAATCAGTGAATTTCTGTTTGTAATGAGACCTACTCGCCTGGCAGTGGTGGCACACACCTTTAATTCCAGCACTCGGGAGGCAGAGAAATGATCTTTTCATATATCATGAGAGCCCTTGTATCTTAAAGACTCTACCCACCTTCCTTCCAGAAGGGCACACCCTTTTGTTTCTCTTTTCTTTTAGAAGTGTTGTCACTTCACTTTGTACATCGCAGGTCCGCCAGCTAAGGGGATTGAGGAGGACAAGGCTTGGAACTCTCAGCCCAAGTTTGATTATTCAGTGACTCAGCTTCTGCCTGGCAGTGTCTCTGGGGTCAGCCAGGTGTAGGTCTTCTTTGGGGCTTTCCGTTCTGCTGTCCTGGTCTTTCTGCTCATCCCTTTTCTGTGCCACTGTTGTAGACTTTATAATGAAGTGCTCTGAACTTGTCCTTCAAGGTTGCTTAGGTTCTCTGGGATATTTGCACTGCTGGGGAAATTTTAGGACCTGATTATCTTATATACACGTTTATCTCCTGCTGGGGCTGTAGTTGTTGTCTATGTTGAATTTATGGGTCAGTTTGAGGGTGAATTAACATCCTAATATTAAATGTTCTGGAACAGAACATTTAGTTATTTCATTCTTCTGAGCACCTGTGTATGGTTTCCACTGGACAAGTTCACAGTGTGTCTTTTTCTAGATTTACTCCTATACACTGAGGTCTTTTAAATGCTGCCATAGATGACATGTTAATTTCATTTTCTTTTGTGAATGTACATGTGTGTACATGTACCCGTTCATGTGTGCGTGCACTGTGTGGAAGTCGATGTCTGTCACGGAACCTAAAGTTCACGAGTTGAGCTTGACTGGCTGGCCAGCAAATCCCAAGCATCCTCCGTTATCTGCCTCCCTCGTGTGGGATTACAGGTGTATGATATGATGCTCAGCTTTTTGTGGATGGTGGGGACAAAACTTGGGTCTTCATGCCTGCACACTAAGCACTGTACCCACAGAGCCATATCCCCAGCCCTGGAGTTTCATTGTCTAATAATGATTTCTTCTGTGTAGAACTACAATTGATTTTCATGTACTGACTTGCTATTTTCTAAATATATTTTCTATCTCTAGCAAGATTTGGATTTTCCATGTGAACACTCTATAAACTCTTTCAGTCCTTAGGCTTTTTATTTGTTTCTTGTGTTATTAAATTGGCTAACACATCCAGTAAAACACTAGAAATGGTATATTAGATATTTTCATTTCCCTCCCCAATCTCAAGGGGGAGAGTATGATGTTCTATGAGCATCAGAGGAAGTTTCCTTTCATTGCGGCCTTAAAAAGTGTGCATGTGTGCATACGTGCATGTGCATGCATGTGTGTGTGTACAGAAGCCAGAAGAAGGCATCTGATCCCTCAGAGCTTGGGTTACAGGCATTTGTGACCTTGTAACATGAACTCTGGTCCTCATGGCTGAGCAGCCAACACTCTTAACCACTGAGCCGTCTCTCCACCCTCTCCTTTTAAAGCAAACCATTACCAACTATTTTGGTATGTTTTCTTCTGCATCTTTTGAGGTCACACTGTTCATTTTATTAGTTAATTTTATGTTGTAGAATATTAACTGTGAAACGTTGTGTTATATTTGTTTATGCTACAGAATATCTGTGTAAAGGTATGTTACTTTTGTTTATGCTGTATTTGTTTAATGATGTAAGGATGAGCATTTAATTACGTAATGATGCGTTGCATCTGTTTCCCCTTGCCTGTCTAAGGCACCTGATTTGTCTGAAAAAGAGCAGAATAGCCAAGAGCTAGGAGGAGAAAGGACAGGTGGGTCTGGCGGGCAAAGAGAATAAATAGGAAGAGAAATCTAGGCTTGTAAGAAAATATGAAGTGCGAGAGGAGGAGAACAAGAGATAATCCTGGGGCAAGAAGCCAGCCAGACATAGAGAAGCAGTGGAAGGAAAATATGCAGAAGTTTGCTCTAGGGCAAAGGGTAGAAAAAGAGAAGCAGGTTAAGTTACAAGAGCTAGCCAGAAAAGAGCTAAGCTAAGGCCGAGCATTTAAAACTCATAAGAAGCCTCCATGTCCTGATTTGGGATGGTTGGTGGCTAAAAGAAAAAAGCCTGGTACAATTTTACATATTAAGGTGGTGGGTTGTGCTAATAGCTTTTCAAACACTAAACCAACTTTCTATTCCTGGAATAAGCTCCATCTGTGTTTAGAGTTCTTTCTTCTCCCTTTCGGATTTAATTGATGAACATATTAGGACTTGTGTCTGTCGTTATGAGTGTGCACTGTTTCTTCCACGGAATGCCCTTGTTTGGTTTTCGTGGTGAAGGTATAGCCTCGTGGTTTATATAAAGTTTTTCCTTTAAATATTTGGAAAGACTGACTTGCGATGTCATCCACAGCTCAAGCTGTCATTTGGGGCAATGTTTTAATTGTGGAATTAATATCTTGAACAGAAGCGAGCTGATCTGGATTTTCTATTTATGTTGGTTTTTATGTGTACTTCAAAGAAAATGTTCATTTCATATGGGCTGTTGAAGTGTTGATATGCAGATGCTAATAAAATTTTGTTAATACCTTAATATCCACAGTCAGTGGCAATAGCTCCTTTTTCTTGCTAATTTGTGTTTTAGATATTTCTTCTTAACCCGTCTAGACAAAAGTTTCAAGTTTTCTTTTCCTTCCTTTTTTTAAAAAATTTATTTTTTACAACCCAACAGCTGCTTCCCCTTCTTCCTGTCATCCCAATCTTTCCCCACCTCTCCTCTACCCTCCCCCATCCACACCTCCTCCATTTCTGTTCAGAGGAGGGCAGGCGTCTCATGGATATCAACCAAACATGGCATATCAAGTTGAAGGCTGGACAAGGCAGTCCAGTATGAGGATAAGGATCCCAAAGCCCAGCAAAGGAGTCAAAGACAGCCCCTGCTCCCACTATCAGGGCTCCCACAAGAAGACCAAGCTACACAACTATAAAATGTGTGCAGAGGGCCGAGGTCAGTCCTGAGCAGGCTCCCCGGTTGTTGATTTAGTTTTTGTGAGCCCCTGTGACCCCAGGTTAGTTGATTCTGTGGGTTTTCTTGTGGTGTCCTTGACCCCTCTGGCTCCTACAATTCTTCCTCCCCCTCTTCTGCAGGATTCCCCGAGGTCCACCTAAAATTTAGCTGTGAGTCTCTGCATCTGTTTCCATCAATTGCTGGATGAAGCCTCTCTGATGACAATTGGGCTCAGCATCAATCTATAAGTACAGCAGAATATCATTAGAAATCATTTCATTGATTTTTTTTTTAGTCGTATTTGGTTCTAACCTAGGCCTCTGGGTTCTGGCCTTCCAGGCAAGTGTCAGGTGGGTTCCCATTTGTGGCATGGATCTTAAGCTACCCCAGTCATTGGCTGGTTATGCCCACGATTTCTGCTCCACCTATACCGCAGTATATATCATAGGCAGGACAAATTGTAGGTTGAGGGTTATGTGTCTGGTTTGGTGTCTCAATCCTTGCCTGGTTACAGGATATGGTCAGTTCAGGCGCAGTATCTCCTGTTGCTAGGAATCTTAGCTAGAATCACCTTCATCGATTCTTGGGAATTTCCATTGCACTAGGATTCTAGTTTATCCCCCAAGATACCCCACAATTCTAGTCGTCTCTCCCAGTACTCTCCCCATCCAACCTCCTTCTACCAGATCCCTCCTGTTCCCATCTCTCCCACCCCCTCCTCTACCTGTGATGTCCATTTTCCCTTCCCAGGGAGAGTCATGCATCTTCCCTTGAGTCCTCCTTGTTTCTTAGCTTCTCTGGGTCTGTGGATTGTATGTAGCATGGTTATCCTTTACATCTAATATACTCTTATAAGTGAATACATACCATGTTTGTCTTTTTGGGTCTGGGTTACCTCATTCAAGATGATCTTTCCTATTTCCATCCATATGCCTGAAAATTTCATGATGTCATTGTTTTTAATAGTTGAGTAATATTCCATTGTGTAAATGT